TCTCCTCCCTCCACCGTCCCTGGTTCCTCTCCTCCTCACCTCTCTCCTCCGCTGTTCTCTTCTTCTTCTTCTTCTTCTTCTTCTTCTTCTTCTTCTTCTTCTTCTTCAGACTTATTCTTCTTCTTCAGATTGGAGACTTGATACTAGTTGGACAGAGATCAGTGTTGGATTTCGGTGGTAAGAGGCTGTGGTACTTACCGGATTAGAGACTTGTAAAAGGGCCTTTACCCGATGCAGGCCTCAGGCCTTGTAAAAGTAAAGCAGCGTGAAAGGGTATCTCGCCAGGGCTCAGAAACGTGAAAGCAGGTCAAAGGTCAAGTTCTCTATCAATGAGCACATCCAAATCTAAAGCAAAGGGGCATTGTCAAAAGACTTACCTGTTCACCAGGAGATGTGCATGTCATGTCTATTCGGAATAGGGTGTGTCTGTGCGTGCAGTCAGTGCACCTGTTCGTGCAAAGAAGATTGTCTATTCACACCATGGGAGTGTCTGTTCAGGCAGTGAGTGTGTCTGTTCGTCTAAAGATGTGTCTGTCTGAAAGTAAGTCAATAGATAAAGTCCCAGTTCTGGTCTAGGTCAAGGGGACAGTCCAGATCCAGACTTTCAAGTCCAAATCTAGGCCGAGAGGCCTCAGCAGCAGTTGAACTTCATTGGGACTGTACTGGGACACATGCAATGCATGGTCTGGGACGAAGGAAAGGCTGAACTGAGCCAATACAGACCCAGCGAGGAGAGGCCAGCACTATAAAGGCAGCAGCCAGCCTCATTCCTCGCCAGATATCCACTGGCATACTGTGCGTGGAAGTGCTGAAGCACTTGTGCGCTAAGTCAGGAGGAGCAGCGCTGGAGGATGAAGATGCGCTGAGTGAGGGAAGAAGACTGTGCGCTGGAAGTGATGCAGCCATAGCTGCCCAGCGAGTTAGTACTAGTATTAGAGGGTTAGTAGTAGATAGCTATGAGTAGTATTCAGAGTAGATCCTCATGAGTGAAGAGTGTGTATGCATCGTAGGAGGAAGGGACTGAGGCAGAGAGTGTTCATTCAAGGTTTGGCTATGGAAGATACTTACCTGAGTTGGAGGTGAACTGCAGAGGTGGCGCTGATGAGTAGTGACCACATTGATGACTTGGAGACAATCTGCAGGAGTAGCGCTGATGTATTGGAAGTCATATTGATGAGTTGATAAGGGAATTGCATTGCGCTGATGAGCGCTGGACTCAGAGAACTATGAAACTCTTTGTAATCGTATTTTTGATAATATAATCTGTGAAACTCGGTTCTCTTCTCATCTACCTTTGTCTACTGTGTGAGACTACTGATCATTGTGTGTGAGTGTGATGCATGACATATACACACTTGCGTGAGATGGTCCCCAGGACTCATGCACGTGGAGATTGTTGGGGTTGATACTCGGCGGCATCACAGATTGGACACCGGTTACATTAGGACTCTGTATCTCCGACATTGGTGACTTATTGTCCACGACATTTTGATCTTGTTCGATGACATTTTGGACTACCATATCGGTGACCTACTGGATTCTATCTCGGTGACATCTGGCGCTGCCTACATCTCCCACCTCCTTCGTCTCTCCTCCCACCTTTCATCTGTGTATGTGTGTACGGGGCCTGAGCATCGTCCATGATTGGCTCAGAC